GATAAGTGGAGAACAAGCGGACGAATACACTTAAAGTTCGTAAATGATCGTCGCTTGAGATCGGAGATTTCAAAACTTTTAGGGAAAATGTTAAAATTAAAGTAGTCGTTTCAATTGATAAGATCGCAACTACAGAGGAGAAATAAAATGTACACGTAGTTAGTTGAAGTCTATTCGTTCGTTAATTGCTTTACAGTTCCACTTATCTCATGCTGCTTCACTTCCACTAATTATATGTGTCTATACTCACATCATCTTAATAGACTATGATGGTGCCCTATGTAACACGTGCCCCGTGGTATAGATCTAGATTGTAGAGTACGCTATATAGATATTGACCACAGACCACATTTGATATAATCACATACGACTAGTAACTGAGTACCAGTCTAGGTACCGGTCTGATCTCGAGATCTGATGCCGGGTAAAAAAGCTACATGCCAGACCTTATCTGCAAATACAGTGCCTAGGTGGGTCTAAAGATTAATGCTGGCAAAATACAGACCATGGCTGTCGGTAAAAGTTCATCACAGAGGTCGTATTCTAAAGAGGTGTTCCATCAAAGATGCTTGAGAAGAATTCTGAAAATCAAATGGAACTATCATGTATCTAACTTTGACGTACTCAAGCGGGCCAACATCGCCACTGTTGATATTTGTACGCTCAGATGGTTTAGTTATGCGGTGAGGATGTTTGATTTAGAAGAGAGAATACCCAACTATTTTATGTCCTGAAGCACAGCAAAAGGTCTCTAATATCACAATAGAAGCAACAGATAGGGTACATTGGAGAGGTCTCATACATCGGTAAAAAAATACTGTGTGGTGCAAGCCACTCCAACCACTAGGAGCCTTTTTCAAGTACAAATAAGTAAGCCCACTAGTGCTAAACCTTAATTTTTATTGCTTTGCGATATATACCCAAGAGAGCCATTCTAATTGTAATCATCTCGCGTGGACTATAATAAGCTAAAATGCCTGCAAATTATATTATCGAAACGTAACAATTAAGTGACTCAATTTCAATCTGTTGATCCAGCTCGAGAAGTTACTTATTTGCCAATATTCAATAGTGTGATTCCACACTTGCCTCTTATTATTATTACACACAATTACACAATTGCACAATTGGAATCACAACATCCCGTGTCGAATACCCTGCCTCAATTACGTTCATCACCAACCCAACTGTAAAAGCTTCCATGAGGGTGGTTTTAGAATTTACATCTTTAATTTTCAGGGAACTCGGTGTAGTACATAAACATTAACATTTTAAGTTATTTGATGTGTTAAGCTTAAATACTATTACCCTATTGAATAATCTAAACTGAGAGTACCTAAAAGTTGTGGGATATTTTGATATGTTGTACAGCTCGGTATACATTTTGGAATGCTTTTGTCCTCATCGACAAAACGTTTCGGATCGCGCGTAAAATTTTGAGGTTTGAAATGTAAAATGCCTAATTTAAAATTTCGGAATTATTGGCCAAATACTGATTTTTTACACGCAATTTGGTAATTATGATAGAAAGATGTTAGAGACTTCTTGCAAACTAACCTAAGAGCCGGGGTTAAGCGGTAAAGCCTTACCGAAGCTCAATTATAAGCGAGGGGGCCGGGCCCTCGATAAGAATATAAGTTTGTAAATTCCTACGGATAATTTCAACAGAAAAGCTGGAATTTCCGCTAAAATAAGCAAATTATATGTCATCATAGTGTAAGTTCCAACCATAAAGCTAAAGTGCGGTAACTGATGTCTCTCGATCATGTGAACAATTAACAGAAAATTCATTTTAAAGCAAACAAGCGAATAGAAAACGAATAGAAAGTACCAATCACTATTATTCTATCAACAACATTTACACTGATATTCTGATAATCAATTCCGATCAGCTGATCAGGTTAGTTTGTTCGCTGTAAAAGGACGAATTCTCGGAATTAGCAACTTTCCAGCAATTTTTATTGCTATGGTCGCTTTTGGACCGAGAAATAAAAGCTTACATATCATCATATGTGTAAACTGAATAACTTGATGTGGTAAGGGGGGGGGGGGCGGGGGTGAGGGGGGAGCATTTACCAAACGTGTTCACCGTTCTCTAATTTGCAAGTATTTCAGCCCCGTCGGCTGTACTTCTCTTGTAATTGAAATCTTCTTTACTATAGAGTTTACGACATGACTCACATTCGCCTCACGTTGTAGGTAAGACCCGCCGCGCACTAGTTTGCTACATGTTGTAATGTCTTCTTTTGATTGGTCGGCGTCGACTGTAAGCCTTCCTTGCGGTGGCTTTCACAACGCGTCCCCATTCTCCAACTCCTGCTGCTGGAGAGAGAGACTCCCAAATTATATACCATAAACATATTATACATAGATATCGACAACAGACTCCGAGAGTCTTGAAGTGCTGTTACCACCGCCCCTGGTGCAACCCCTTACGGGTTAACGATGGGGAGACAGGGACTTCCAGGGACGGTCAGTGCCTAGAAAAACTGTATAGTAAGATGTCCTATATGTGTTAGTGGTTAATGGGATCCTCGAAAAGATCCTCCTTTAGTAGTCTATTGGTTGCCTCGATAAATTTTATAACCGTACTAATTCTAGCTGATACTATGTTGTAATGTTCATGTATAATACACATTACACTATAAGTATAATACCTTTTAATTTTATCTTTTCTTAGAAAAGAGGTATACAACGTGTGTGGCCGAATCGTGGCTTTCGCCACGGTTCAGGGTCATGAGCCTGAGGGTCACGACGTGAGACGAAAGAAAATATGTTAACCTCAATTTTTCAAAAAATCAATTTATATACTTATAGGGCATACATAATAATAAATAATATTATAATAATTCGATAATTTTAATGTAGCTCAAACTGACTGATAGATTACTATTTAAAGCTCCCAAACAGCCTTTATAAGTAAAGTAAATCATTTATTAAGTAAAGTAAATCATTTATTAAGTAAAGTAAATCATTTATTAAGTAAAGTAAATCATTTATTAAGTAAAGTAAATCATTTATTAAGTAAAGTAAATCATTTATTAAGTAAAGTAAATCATTTATTAAGTAAAGCATAAAGTAAATCACTTTAGCCATTATTAGCTGCTCAACACAAGTTATTACCTTATACATTATATAATTTCATATATGACCTTTGCACGCCTTGATAATAGTTTATTCAAATTACTCAACTGATGATACTCATACATAATGATTGACTGTTGTTAATGATCTGGCCCGGCGCGAGAAGAAAGCAGCGCGCGCTATATAAACTTTGAAGAAATTTAGACGAGTAACATCCGTCAAACATAATGATCAATGATGTAATATACTTTATATGAATTATGAACAGATATTATTATTAACGGGTGATACTCGTAAAATATCTGTTCCATATATTGGACCGTCGACGAGTCCAACTCAGCGCGCGTCCTGGTAGGTTGTAAACCTACAAATATTATTATTAACGATCAGCGCTCCGATTGAAAAAATTTACTTCAACCAACATCTCATGAAATAATTAATTACTGGGCGGCGCTCGCAGCCTGTCATTTCGCCTGATCTCTATTTGGTATGTTTACAATGAATAAGCTGATTTGAACGGATGTCATGTTACTCGTATAAATTTCTTCGAAGTAGCGCGCGCCGCTTTCTTCTCGAAATGTTAGCCCGAGGCAATTGATGTTAGCCCGAGGCAAATGTTATCTCGAGGCAAGTTCTACGAAGTAACGCGCGTCAGGCTAGTCCATTAACAATTGCATGATCAATGGACAATTAAAGCTAATTGAGCTGAGATCAATGCAAATGATATGTATCATTAAAAGTTGGTGCTTAGTACAGATTTGTGCACCTTAATTTTAAGAATGACAGCGCTAAGCTGAGTGCCGCCCATTGATTGACGATGTCAATCCATCGAGATCGTTGCTCATGCTCTGCGAAGCAGAGTAACGATCGACGACGCAAGAATGCGCGAATGAATGCGCGAAGCAAGAATTATAGTTTGCGCGGCGCGTCGAAGCGGCGAAGTCCTCTTGTATCACGTTGCGACCCCCACGGTCGTTTTACTACTACTACCCCTGTAGCGTCTTCGACGCTACAGGGGGAGCCGCGCACTTCGTGCGCGGCGGGTCATACAACGTATGACAAAAGTCCTCCAAGCCGCCCACTGCAGCCCAGTTTGATTCACGATGTCAATCCTTCGCAGCTCGGTGAGGCACAGTGGTGCATCTCGCCGATCTACCGGTTGCGAGAAGCATTATTTGATGCGCGCGCGACCCAGTAGTGCATCGCGCTACAACAGCCCAGTAAATTTTGGGAAGAGAGCGGCGCGCGCAAGCAACTTCGAAGAAATTTAGACGAGTATCATTCGTCAAGACAGTTGGCTGCTGGCCCGGGAACGATTGGATTTTTATTTGTATTTGCGTTTGCCAGACCTGAACCAATTGGTGCCAAACAGGAAAATTAAAATTACAAAATACTGCTACTGTTTTATACCCAGGCTTAATTGACGATGTCAATTCATGGCAGCTCGGCGCGGCACAGTAACGCATCGCGCTACAAACCCAGGCCATCTTACATAAACTTTAATTTCAACATAATATTACCAATTTACTGTTAATCATATAATAACTGCCTTAAGCACAATTTAATTTACTAAAAGTCTAGGCATATAATAACTCCTTAGAACCAATTTTTATTTTTACATTAATTTGCGAATTAAATATGCTGCGCACATCATTTTACATTTATTATTTGTTATTAATTATTGCAATGGATATGATCAATGATGCTTTTTCTTGTTAAAATATGTTTCAAGATATCAGGATAGTTAACTATTAGATTCGATGATATAAATGATTAAACGCTCTAATAATTTTGAATTTCTTAAATTCAATCCAAATAAATTTCTATATTATATTTTATGAATTTGATTAATTTCGTTTATATAATTTATCTGGCGCCGCGCACTTCCGCGCTATGGCACAAATTTCTCTCCGCACGCATTTCATCGTTTGACGTCATTGGCATACCTTTACAACTTTACAATTTGAATTTGCTCTAACTATGGGAGATAACGAAGAACAAGATATCCAACAGCCGTAAGTTTATCGTTGTTTTTGAATGCTTGAAACTTTGCCTACATTCCCCACTTCGTCTGCATTACCTAGTTCGCCAGTAGTTTGCTCAAAACCGGATGGATTTAGTCTTTCGATTAGTTTTCGTACTTGCAATATCTCAAAACCCTCACTCCTTATCATTTCAGTAACTCCGACGGGATGGACCCGGAAGGAGTCATCTCAGTAAGTATTAGCTTAATATTACTGTTTTAAGTTTTTCTATCTTTGAACACACAAATATTTGTGGCATGTTTGTTGCCGATGCGCTATCCCGGGTGTCTTAGATCTAGTTGATTCTAACTTAATTTCCGATTGTCATCTATTTACTTTTTAATGGGTTACCAAACGGGTTCTTATAGCTTCCCTTGGACCTAGATGAGATTGTGAAAGTTAAACAGTGTATAGAATGTTGAATGGTAATGATTTCGATAACAACAAATACGGGGTCCAAATATTCTAATCACGTAACCCCATCTAACCTACAACTATTTCAGGGAAACTGGGATGAGGTTGTTGATGACTTCGATGCGATGAAACTTCGCGAAATGCTCCTCCGAGGCATCTATGCCTACGGGTAAGTAATCTTCACTTTGCTAAAGAATGCTCTTCGTAGATGTCACATTAACCGAATATCGCCTAACCTGACTAGAATTAGAATTGTTCACAACACAATCTAAAGTGTATGTACAAAAAGCGATGTTCTGGTTCAATTTATAGTGCTAGTAGTCGCTATTCTTAATTTCGACTAAATTTTATCCAAATATTTACTACATATATTTATATAACCAAACTTCTGTTCCTAATAGAACTATAATTTCAGTTTTGAACGACCCTCCGCAATCCAGTCCCGTGCTATTATTCCTTGTGTGCAAGGACACGATGTTATTGCTCAAGCCCAGTCTGGTGAGATAACAATTATATTTTATATAAATACAATTAACCTATATAATTACTGTAAGTACTACATTGCTTACCGTATAAACGGTTAAACTTGTGTAGTTGAATGGGCCATATCTATTCACTATTCAGTTCACCTTATTCAAGGTAGGGTGCCCCGCTAAAAGAACTGGATTCTTCCAGGAAGCATCCCGTGCACAGAGCTTGGTCTACATATATATTAAATTATTAACCATTCATTCTGTATGTGCACGAAAATTTATTTCAATCAATGTTTGATTCAATTTTGAAGAGGTAGCAAAATTGAACATTGAACCTCATAAATTTCTTCCCAGGTACTGGTAAGACAGCAACATTTGCAATTGCTCTTATGCAAAGGATCAACTTTGAGGTGAAGGAAACTCAAGGTTTGGTCTTGGCTCCCACAAGAGAATTGGCTCAACAGATCCAGAAGGTTGTTATCGCTCTTGGAGACTACCTTGAGGTAAGTTTTACAGCTGATTTTGGTTGCTAACCTGGTTTGTGCCCGAAATTGAACAACTGCAGTATTGGTACCACAAATTATGTATCCTCTCAATCTTTAACTCGTGATTATTGAGTCATTACTTGATTGAATTATGTGAAACCACATAGATCAAAACCTCTTCCGTGCTATCTTCAGTAAAACAATTAGAAGAAGTGGTCCACTCTCCATCACTTCACAGTGGGCTGTGAGTGGGGGTCATGCTAGCATAGGGTATTTTAGACCATCACACATGCCCCTAACTTTGTTTCTAAGGTAATTTGGGTACAAAAATACGATTCCAATCATTTACAGGGCCGAAAATGTCTCAGAAAAAAAATTTTGGGCCGATTTTGAGCAATCTTGTAGTACAAAAATAGGAGGCTGATCCCAGGAAAAGTTGTTTTTTAGAGGTTTAATCAATTTTAAAGCTCTTTTATGAACTGTAAACGAAGGACAGCTATCTTAGGAACTCAAATCTTTTTGAATTATGAAAAAATATTGATCAGAACAAAAGTTTTGCCCATTTATATGACCAAAATTTTCTGAAACACCAAAATTGTTCCTGTTATTTTCAAAAATTTCGTTTAAAATCACGATTTTTTGGATTTTTATCAATTTTAACTATAATAATTGTGATATTTTGATTTTTCATCCATATGCATCTGGTCTAGGGTGCAAAAAATGCCACAAACATGGAGAATAACTAAAATATGTCACTGAGTGGAGTTGGGTTAAAAACATATAAGAGATACGATGATTTAACTTGTAGAAGCTTTCAATAAACATGTGTTAATCGTCGTCAGCTGAATGTGATGTGGTGGACAATGCTTATATGTGATTGAGTGGTGTCAGGGATGGAGGGTGGGGGAGGTGTGGGTGGGAAAGTGAAAATTACAGTACAATGTCAATAAAAATTTAGTCTTCTGTTGAGGTTGAGAAGGAAATGCCAGATGGTCTGGACTTTAAGGATTTGGCAATTTTAGGAAGAATGGGGTCCCAGAGGGAACTACATTTGGGTGCGCGGTCTGTTCTGTTCATAGCTGGTTGTCGTATTTGTATAGCTGCGTGTTCTGTGAGGTCAAGTTGGGAGCGTGAGGTGAGGGATTTGAGGACTTCGATGTTGTTCCAGGAGATGGTGTGGCCGGTGGTCAGGGCATGATGTGCAGGGGCTGATTTGATTCTGTCTGTGGATTCGTCGATGGCGTTGTTGAGTCTGTAACATCGTTCGTGTTCTTTCATGCGGTGGACCAAGGGTCTGTAGGTCTGTCCGGCGTATTTGGAGGGGCACTGTGAGCAGGAAATTTCGTAGATGGTGTTGGGAGTGAGGTGAGTAGGGGGTGTGGTCTTCGTTTTGGTGAGGAGGTTGCGGAGGGAGGTAGCAGAGGAGTGGGTGACTTTGATGTCGTGTTGTCCGAGTATCTTGGAGATGGGTTTGGATAGGGAGGGATGGAAAGGAAGAGAAACACTAAGGGCATGTTCACGGGTCTGTCGGTTGAATGAGGCTAGGGATTGGTGGCGAGAGGGGTTGGTGAATTTCCGTTGTACTTCGTCCATGATGGTGGTGATGCGGTGAGGAGGGAAGCCGTTCTGGAGGCAAACGTGTCGTACTGTCTGGAGTTCGTCGTCAAGGTGTTGGGGTGAGCAGATGTTGTGGGCTCTTCTGGTCAGTGATCGGATAACTGCGTTCTTAGATGAGTTGGTGGTGCAGGAGGAGTACTTGGTGTAGAGGTTGGTGTGGGTGGGTTTTCTGTAGACTGATGTGGATTTGTCAGGGTGGATGAGAACGTCAAGGAAGGGTATAGTTCCGTCTGTAGAGGGATGTTCTTGGGTAAAGTTGAGGTCTTCAGTAAGGGAGTTAAGGAATGTAAGGAAGGATTCTGCGTGGTTTCTGTCTCTGAAAGATCCAAGGCCGTCGTCAACGAAATGGGAGTAAGTGTCCGGAGGGTCAGGACATGAGGATAAAGCTAAGGTCTCGATTTCAGCAAGGCGGATTTCAGCTAGTTCAACAATGAGGGGGGATCCCATTGTACCACCTTCGTCTTGGGAGTAGAAGGAGCCGTTGAATTCAAGGTATGAGTTGTCAAGGCAAAAGTTGATGAGGGAGCCTATGGTGGTTGTGGTGACATTGGAGGGAAGACGAGAGGGGTTCTGTTCAAAGGAGGAGATGACAGTTTTGAGGGCTAGGCGCATGTCACAGGAGGTGTACAAGGATTGGACGTCTAAGGAGGCGTGGTAGTGGAAGGAGGGATTGAGAGAGGAGTCGAAGCGATGTTTGAAGTCGGAAGAGTCTTTGAGGCGTAAGGGGTTCTGGGCTAGGGGTTTGAGGAAAGATGCGAGGACTTTGTGGAGGGCTTGGAGGGGGGTGTTGTAGAAGCTGACTACGGGACGGATAGGTGCGCCGGGTTTGTGTATCTTAGGTTGTCCGTAAAGTTGAGGCCATCTAGGATGTAGGTTGCGCATCTTGTGGTATAGGTCGGTCGTGATCTTCTTGTCGGTGTGTAGTTTCTTGAGGACTTTCTGTAGTTTAGTGGTAACGGATTGAGTGGGGTCTTTCGTTAAGAGGGTGTAACTACCTGAGGATAAGTGGTCGGTAACTTTGTCAATTTAATAGCAAAATTGAGCTCATAAATTATCTAAAAATGCAGCAAATTTTACCCAATTTTTGAGTTTCTTAATTTTGTAAACAGAGTTGCCCAAAACTGCCCAAAGTGATTCTTATTGCATCTGATAGGGAATTGTCTAAGCTTTCTGATGATACCATGCATTATACCGAACTATTGCAAACCAACAACGATTTCTGTCGTTAAATACCCCAAAAATTGTCTAAAATACACGCCATAAAAAAGGCGCGGTCAAAAATCAGGTGAAAATGTTAAAGTCACACAGTTTTTTTAGATGGCTGAGTATTCTTAAGTACTATACTGTATTTCAATTATTAAAAACTGCCTTGATCAAGTATTTTAGCCCAAAATAATAAATATTAGGCAATTTTTGGCTAAAAAAGGCAAAATTTCTTGACAGTGAAAAATGCTATTTTTTCACGCGACGCCATTTTGGCATCTTGCAAAGTTTTTAATTACGGTTTTTTGCATGAAATCGGGCTAGCGTTTTACAATAAGGAAAGCTTATTTTCAAAGAAATTTAAGAAAGTCGATTTTAGGCCTATGCTAGCATGGTAGCCCACTGTGCACTTCCAACATTGTTTACTTCTATTACCTATGTAATATGTATACGGTGTAACATTCAATTAATCATTTAAGGTTGACTGTCACGCGTGTATTGGTGGCACTGCCATTGCTGTCGACATGAAGAGGTTGGATAACAGGCCTCACATCGTCGTCGGTACCCCCGGCCGAGTAAAAGACATGATCGAGCGAAAGGTAACAATGCATTCCTTCATTGAACATTTGTGATAGTTCCTCTCGTACATTTGAAGATACCGATTTGGTTATAAATTTCACTTAGTTTTCGTCTACTACACTAATTCTCATTTCCAATGTTATTGTATGTTGTGGCATTTAAACAACTTCCTCTTCAGAACTTGAAGACGAAGAGTATCAAGATGTTTGTACTGGACGAGGCTGATGAGATGTTGAACCGAGGGTTCAAGGACCAGATCTACGAGATCTTCAGGAACATGAACAGCGACACACAGGTTTGTCATATAAAGCATGTCTCTGTTTTAATGCAGAAGTGGGGGGGGGGGGGGGGGGGGGGTGGCAAGAAGTATCCCTTATTCTACCTTCGACCAATGTGTTTGAGGAATCATCAGTGTCGAACGTCCTACACAACCGCCTCAAGAATCTCCCAAATTTATCCAACCGAGAAGTAAAACCCTGTTTTTGCTGCCGAGACCTCACCACTTTCTCCCCCAGGCTATCCTACTGTCCGCTACCATGCCCAGCGATGTGTTGGAGGTCACCAAGAAGTTCATGAGGGATCCCGTAGAAATTCTCGTTAAGAAAGATGAGCTGACTCTTGAGGGTATTAAACAGTTCTTCGTCAACGTCGAGAAAGAGGTTTGTATTTTATTATCATATATTAACTTATGCTCTATTTACCTTCAGTATCGCCGATTAGGATTTTGCAATCGTGCCCAGTATATTATCCGTGCTAGATCGTGTTGTGTCAAAGTTTAAAAGCAGCATCAGAAACTCCAGAGTGCATTGCACTGTGTTGCAATCCATTACTCGCTGAAATATTCTCCTTGCCCCTAATAAAGGTAAGGTGTCCACAATGGTAATGACGCTGGGACACGTTGGGGCGTTTCTTTAGAAAACCAACAAATGCCCCGCCCGGCAATAACGTGTTATTAATGACGATGGGATCGATCAGCAAAAGCTCCCTAACTTCAATGATGTATCAGCACACTAATGAGATGCTTTTGGTGTTCTTTGCTATTTCAGAGAAATCATGGAAAAATATATATTATATACCCAATACCCATAAAGATACCTTAAAATCTGCTACATTATTGCTTGAAAACTACAGTCACCATTCACCAAATAACAAGGAATCTCTTTTTGTGAATATACGAAAAGGCGGCAATTATTGGTCATTATGCAAATAACTCCAAGAACTCTAGATTATAGTCACCATTCTGAAATACAGATACCGAACAAATTGTGCAACACACAGATGTCATTAAATCGCTTTTTTGTTTTGTTGCGTTCAGTTTTCAATTTCAAAACGGAATGACCAAAATTTTCCTGAAGTTTCACCTATCTTCTTCTAACTAGACTCCTCAACACTAAACGGTTAAAATACCCCCCTCTTTATTGTTTAACCTTTAAAATTTCCTGTTAATATAAGGGAAGAAGAATATATATTCTATAAGAATTACCCCCTCTTTCACATAAGCAACGGTTTCTAAGAGATCGCTTCCTATTGTGACAGTCAGTAAATCAACTGCTTAAACTAGCGTTTAGGTGACACCACATTGAGAATTGAGATTTTGTCGATCTTATTGGTTGGGAAAATGTTACTAGCTTTTATCTCTCTTTTTTTATTCCTGAGCTCAGTGTCAAGCTTAAAAAGTTGTTAAAATGTGCTTTTGACTGTCCAGTGTTTATGTGAGGTAACATTCTGAAAACTTTCATTATATTGGAGGATGCAGATGATCGTGACGTACGTTGATATCGATAAAAATATTGAAATGTAAATAAATAAATAATGATATTAAAGATTGAGTCTTCCCTGGTCTCACGTTCGAAGGGATAAATATGTATATACTGTATAGTAGTACTAAGTTTATAGTTTACAGTACAGGACTAATGACTATGTATATTTACAGAAGGGGTATCCTAAGAACGGTTTTCCGGTCATTCCAGTAATGCATTAACATGATTAATGTTTATAGGTAGACAAACTTAAAGACACGAAATGGTCATGGTGGTCAATACGCAGTGTAGTTAACTGCTAATTCTGTAGTAAACATTCAGCATACACTACACTCTACAGTACAAGTTTTGGCCCTCAAGTTTGGCCTTTCAAGTTTTGGCTTTCAAGTTTTGGTCTACAAGTTTTGGTCTACAAGTTTGGCCTTCCAGTAGGTACGAAAAATGTCAGTGTTTGATGCCTGATGCCCTTATATTATCATCGCTGGATTCTGCTGAACACTGGCCTCAAATATTTTCTTTTTTTAACTTTTTTTTTGGAACTTGATTTACTGACCCATGTTTCGCATCATTCGATAATCGATACACGTTTGACATAACATCATCTTCATCGTCTAATACCCCAATACCTTATAAATGGGTTTAAAATAAGGCATGACCACATCTTTGATTTTCTGTGGGTTTGTCTAAGCACTGCATGTAAACAGTGATCGGTGGAATTAGAATGTAATCATACATCTTAGAAGCTGGTCAATTTGATAACCTACATCATAAAATACACATCCTTGATCGACCTAGCCCGATCGAATATGTATACACTCATATCATCACTAGTCGACAATGAGTAGTTCTCAATCAAGTTCAAATCAAGGAATATGTAAATTAGATCTTAAGTAGTGTTGTTTGTAACTCTGATCAGTAATAAACTGCTTTAATAATATAGGTCGCGGTCGAATAAAGAGTTACGGTGCAGTGGTCGATCCAAACCTCTGGGCAAAGCTCATTTTTTATGTTTTTTATGTTTTATTCGACCTCCCACTATAATAGTAGTGATTTAAATTCCCCGAAACACATACTTAACCTCTCTATGTTAACCTGTAACCTCTTTAGCCTCTTAAACCTGTAACTGCGCACCACTCAGCATTATGTTTACCACGCTAAACAGTGGCTCCTGTTTATGACGTTATGACGTCACTATGTCTTCCAAGCGGAAGTTTATGCAGTTCACTCTATTCTCACGTCACGAACTTTCACAAACTTGATTAAATGTTAAACATGCGATCCATTCTTATTACTTCCATTATATGGGATGTAGTGTACATTTTGACGTAAAGCATGCCAACTCTAATCGTTATTCGGGGAATTCCTTGAAAAACTTAAAGTACCAAGCTAATAGATGCTTAAACTTTAGCATTCATTTTGGATTCATCGCTTAATTTAGCAAAAATATTCAAGACATATGTACCCAAATGAAATGTAAAGAAACAATTTTCATTCATTATTATGGTGCACCATCATTTTGTTGAAGGCTAGAAAGATCAAGAAGGCATAAATAGTCAGGACCCGGCTACGTTCTGGAACATTCTTCACTCATGACTCCGATCTCTTCAAGAAACATTGTAATACTATACATAGAGAAATGTCGGCGGAAATATCTTACTAGTCACAAATACTGCTTTGAATGTGATATTTCCGATTTTAACATAATTGCCTAATTAACTTCAATTAAGTTATTACCCGATAACGGAGCTTTCTCCTTCTCTTAGAAAACACCTGTCCACCAGATCTTTGTTCCTAATTTACCACCCTGTTCACCATGCCAGAGAGTAATCAGTAATGTGAACAGTGAACTATTCTAATGCCTCCTTCCCCCCCTCGTCCGTACACTGTAGAGGGGACATTCTGAAATATTGACATTCTTCAGTCAAGATAATATCTGGAAGAGGACAAAAAGCCTCTGGACCTGCTTATCCAGTTATAGTTCATGCTCAATATTCACAAACAAGATAAATGGATTTTGAAGGCTGACATGTACTCGAAATTAGTCTAATAATGACGTTAAGCAAGAAAAGGACGTTCAGAGTATAATATTTCGTCAGTAGAGGATGACATTTCAACACAATACAAGAGAAGAGGGTGCACCAGGCATCGAACATTACTCCACTTACACTTTCATATCTACTTCAGCCTTGAAGAAGGCCAAATCAGTAATGTATGTTGTGCAGTAGTGTTCGCTGATTACAGCTGTTGTAGTATCCACACTGAACTGACAAGTGAGCTAATCCAGTACCAGCTTATGGTTGGTGGGCTAGACAGTGAAACACGCAAATGTAGTGTATACTTCGTTAAATTACATCATTAGCTACAAAGGGATTAAGTTGGTTAGATTTATTAGTACTATATATACGAAGATCTAAAATGCCTCAAACAATCGAGAATCAAATAACCTAAATAAAATACACAAGGTAAATGGAGATGAACTACACAAAAATATAGCTTCAAAAATGAAGCTTCAAAAAAGAAGAAATAAAAACTAAGAACCTTATCTTTCAACTTTGCATCTATTTAAACCCAAGCAATTAGTTCTATACTTCTCAATATACCTAAATTCCTCCCTATTTAATCCCCTGGGGTTACATTCTTTCAAAATGGCAAATTTATAGTTGTCAATAGTAAAAATGTCTCTGTGATGTTCATAGGCATGAATCGAAAGGGCTGATTTATTACGATCCTCTACTTTAAAACAGGCTCTGTGTCCATTGACACGTTTATGAAAGTTTTGCATTGTTTGCCCGAAATAAGTGTCTTCTACAACTATCTCATAACCTTCTTCCTTTATAAGATTACAAAGCTTACATTGGGCCACATAAATAACATTTTTAGATTTACAATTATATCTGATAGGAACTACTATCTTCTGTCCATTAACTACAAATTCTTCCCCTGCCCTACACATATGCCTGCATGTTCGGCATCTTGGTGCATTGCATTTCTGAGTCCACTCTGAATTATTTTCTGCCGGTGTTCTGCAGATAGCACTGTTTCTCAGTACTCTGTTACCAATCGAGCAGCCTTTCTTCGATGCCACCGTGATTTGTGTTGGGCCTAATAGTGCTTCAATGTCCGGTTCCAACTCCTTTAAGACTGATTTAAGCTGGGGCATCTCCGAGAGGTGTTGGACTGAAAACACCATGTACCAGGTTGTACAATAAGGCTACTTTGCATATTTAAACTTTTCGGTTCATTAGCCTAGATGTACTGTAAGCACGTACTGTAACTACCCACTACACACTTAAAATGTAAGATCAGAGTAGATTTATAAGGTATATTTATTTGCTTTCGTTATGACAGTGCCAGGCGTGATACAATGCCAGGCGCGTGACACAATTCAATGAAAGTTTTGAAGATAAAGACTTCGTTTTCTAGATAAACAGGTGTATAAAACAGTTCGTATTGATGAAAAGTGAACATTTCTTTGGTAATCTAGTCTTACACCTTTCAAACTGCAACAAGCAAACTTCACAACCTCTCCAAGAAGCGGCAAATTTTATTCAACTTACAATACAATTAAGTCACAGTGGCGGCGTAACGAAGGCCAAGGGCCCCGCCGACCCCGCTAGGGAGGGGGGGGGGGGGGGGATACTAGAAAAACGATACTAGAAAAACTGAGCGTTTCTAGAAACATAATTATTTAGAGATTTTACCGGCATATCAATTTTAGCAAGGGCCGCCAAAAAGGGAGGGGGCGCTTTTTCAGCCGGGGGGGGGGGGGGGGGGGGGGGGGGGGGGGGCGCCAACAGGCAACGTTACGCCACTGTTAAGTCATCTGATTTCGTTTTGCCTAAGGGCGAAGTTACTGAAAGATCGAGAGGAAGAAAATAGACGATCTTTGGTGATCAATGAGATTATGAACCTAAATCTCTATCTGACAAAAAACCCGTTCCTTTCCCTGCCAGATACGATGGTATATCTGATCCTACCAATTTTGAACTCGCTCAACAATTTACAGTCTCAATGTGTAAACCCTCCCCTGTAACAGTTACTGTACTTAGGTGTGGCATGGCACTACATTCGTGTCAGTAAAGCGACCCGACAGTTTAGTTCAACAGATGTGCTTTACATAAAATATTACCAAGTTACATTGTTCAACTTTCTAAATATAGTGAAATGACAACAACCTTTATAGCTATCCTTTTGTTCTCCCTTATTTCTTCTTGTGTTTAATGGTTTTAATAAAGAGCAATTGCCTATGATGATGTGAGTGTAAGAGAGTGTTTGAGAAGTAATTATGTTAAATGTTGAGGTATGATAATTGTACTTAAACCCACACACGCCGCTGAAATTCGAGACGCACCACCTTATCTTGTATTTCATCTCTTAAAATGTCTCACACGACACACTCACACGGAAAATTTGTTAAACGCGGTTAAGAGTACACAAGCAAATATATCGCACTGTTATTGCTGGCAATCTTCCTATTTCATCTTCATATCAAGCTCATGAAATAGTTTGTCTGCATAATTATGCTTTATTTTCGATGCATCAATGACGTAATAAACTCTACTATAGTTCTCGAGGATTTCGAAGTTAATCTAATTCTATGACCTAATATTATGAGATACTCCAACATGACATGACCTTAGAAACAAATCAAGTGTATAATAACGTCATCATTACGATAAGCCGCTACACATCCGCGTTCTTTTGGGAATGAATTTCGGTGAACCAATGTTCTTGACAATCGCGGATGTATTCTAGTGGATGTATCGGTGTATAATAACCGGTAGAATTGTTTCCTGTTCTAGAAAATAGTCAAATCGTTGAAGACTGGATTTTTATGGGTTGATGCCCCGGTCGGTTATGCAATAGAGCGCGAAACATCTTGAACAACTAGCAATATTTGGGTACGATTTCGCGGCAAGCACAACATTTAAGCATTTGACTTGCTATTTTACGACGCGCCAGAGGGCGCCGCGCACATATGTACATTTTACGTGTATATCGGAATGTACATGTTGAACCACTTTAAACGTGTGGTTGATAGACACTAATACTTGTCATCGGATTTAAAACGCCCGCCCTACAACAATCCCATAATAATATTTAATACCCTAATAACATTTCTTCATTTTCAGGCCTGGAAGTACGAGACCCTGTGCTGATCTGTACGAAGCCATCTCAATCACCCAAGCTGTCATCTTCTGTAATACTCGGCGACGTGTGGACGACCTGACAAGACATTTGCGAGAGAAAACTTTCACTGTGTCTGCCATGCACGGTGATATGGACCAGAAGACTCGTGATTGTATCATGAGAGAATTCAGGACTGGCTCCTCTCGTGTTCTCATCACCACAGATCTGCTGGTATGTACATACCTGGAGTGTGGCATTTGTGTCTTAGATCATCAGCCTGTCATAGGCCTTTTTTCTTCTCTCGTTTAAGTTTTTGTATTTAATCTCAGCTATTCATATCTGCCTGAGAAGCAGTGATAAATAACGAAGCTCAGAAGTTCATTTCAACTCATTGTGAGAACTCATTTGGTTTAAATACCACAAAGTTACTGAATCTTTTGCCAACAGAAGTTCACCAACAACCAACGCTACAGTCTCAAAATTTTTCTCGGATGCTTCTTTAAAATGATTCCGAGGGGGTATATCCCACCCGACATCATCTATACACTATAGAACTGTAGTCGACGATATGATGAAGAACCTGCATGATACCTTTCTCTGAATGCTATTCCAGCCGGATTTACTCAAAAGTAAGTACTATAGCTGAAAAGCAACACTTACAAAGATATAACAAGTACATTCACACAATCATAATTTCAGGCTCGAGGTATTGACGTACAGCAAGTCTCCCTCGTAATTAACTTTGATCTTCCCAAAAACAGAGAAAACTACATCCACAGGTGAGATTTTAAAGACTAAATTCATCCCTTATTAAAAATAATTTTGGTATAGCATCACTTTGGTGTTCGATCCTTGGAGCTACTGTTAGATTTAAACTCAGTGAGCCACATGACTTCAAATTCTCATTGATGGAGGAAATTTGGGAATAAAAGGATTAAGGAAGTGTAACATATTTCCATCTCAGAATCGGACGATCTGGTCGTTTTGGTCGTAAGGGAGTTGCGATCAACTTTGTGACCACTGATACTGAGCGTATTATGAAAGACATCGAGAACTACTACAATACGCAGATTGAGGAGATGCCCATGAACATCGCCGACTTAATTTAAATGACATTGGTCAGCAAATTGAGGTCACGTGCCGTTTGGCTGGGCCGCGTGACAAGCCGGGGACGGGGACGTCGTTTTCTTTACTTCTTGTATTTTACCCAGACCTACTGTTTTGATCTATTTGATTATATTCGATCCTAATACATTTTTTTGCTTGTTATTCATTTAAACCAACCTTTTAAACGAAGTCATATTGTGAATAAATATTAAAGACTTGCAAATTGGATTAAAATTCAATAATTTACATAAGATACCGTTCACTGTCCAGGAAATTAACCAACAAACCCTTTCCTGGACGGTCTTAATCAATACAGGAAAACCAACAAACACAAAATTCTTCAGTATTGCAAAATAAAAATCAATTAATTTCTGAAAATAAGAAACAATATTAACCTGAGTCTTGGATTAAAAAATTAGCTGCCACCAGCCGTTTTCAAAGCTGTTTCTAAATCATTTAACCTATTGTCCAATTCTTCTTCAAAATAATCTACAAACTTATTCTCGAGTAGATCCGGATCGGATCCCACTTCCTCAGTCAATTTAGTCATCTCCTCCGGCTTATCCCTGCAATATTAGTCAGTCACGTGGTGTGTTCATAATTAATAAGATCCGATCGCTGCTTATTATCATCTATTATTGATCACATATGACATTACTATTGATCAAGTTTGAAATTGCCTCTAAAAGAGAAATTCGTTAACCTCATGTTAAAATGATGTAAAACTAATCACTCACTCGTCATCTAAATCATTCCACAGACTCTGTTGCATCTCACGTTGAACAGCTTCTAGCCTAAATAATGGAATATCATAGATAGTATCTAGCAATTTCCGTATCAAATGGTTGGGGCCGGGGCCATCAAAGAGTTGAAATAAATGGGACGTTTTCGTAAATTCTGCCAAAATTTCCAGACGTCCGGATTTTCAGAAACCACCCCCCTCCCCCTGCCCGGATTTGTCCGAAATTCCAAAACCACCCCCTCCCTATTTGCCGGACGTCCTAAGTAGATGGCTCATGGCCCCTCGAGGAAACCTGCTGCAGACCGATTTATTTTGATTTGAAGGGCTAATTTTTGGCGGAACGACACTGAAATTTATACGATATTAATTGGATACATTGTCATGTCATCTGAGTTTGAAGAAAGTAGACAACCTAGCTTGATAATTGTATGTGCTTAGTCATACTGCATGTTCAATTACTAGGGAGATATATAGCTAGTTGAAAAGTTAAATATCAGATTTAAATGCAGTATATATGAACGCTATATATATATACCATTCAGCATGCGCACATCGATCGCACGGCTGTTCTAGCGTGGATTCTAATCCGATAGGATTACGCCATTCCTGGTTGGACGACGTTCGCTGTCCTAGGGCGATCCGATCGCATTTCAGATCGTCGTCCGATCGCTCCTGATCGCTAGGCGCTCGGATTTTATTTTTGAGAGGCGATAGGATAAAAAAATCCGAGAGCCTAGCTCTAGGATTTTACGTTTCCGAGAGGTGTGCTCTCGGATTTATCATTTCCGGGAGATAAAATGCGTGTTGCGCGTTTCCGAACTCAAATAAAATTCCATCGAGATCGAAAACATGAAAAAAAAATTTAAAATATTAACTTTTAGTATGTTTTCATTCTTCCGTAAAATTAATGAGAAAATATAGAGAAGCAAAATTCATCATCATTAGATACGGCCATACTCGGTTGAATACACCCCATCTCGTTCGATCTGGGAAGTTAAGCAACTGCAGGCCGGGTTAGTACCTGGATGGGTGACCGCCTGGGAATTCTCGGTGCCGTATCCTTTTGTTATATTTCCGAAGAATTGTTTTACTGAACAGAAGAAATTGTGAATGGCTTTTTCAGAATTGCAGTGGTTATTAAGAATAGCATTTTATCCTTAGCAATATAGTCTATGTTCAAACGCAAGGAAATGTTTCCAAATGTCAGAATAACATGGCTTAGAATAGCTACAAAGTTTTGTCTGAAAGGGCTTTGTTGTTTCATTCTAAGATCTATCTGAAACATTCTTATCTGCTCAAAATTGATTAGAATATATTCTTAAGTTAACTTGAAGAGTACTACAAGGTATCCTGAAGTTAACTTGAAGGGTACTACAAGGTATCCTAGAGTTAACTCAAAAATTACTACAAGTTATCCTGAAGTTAACTTGAAGAGTACTACAAGGTATCCTGAAGTTAACTTGAAGGGTACTATAAGGTATCCTGAAGTTAACTTGAAGAGTACTACAAGGTATCCTGAAGTTAACTTGAAGAGTACTACAAGGTATCCTGAAGTTAACTTGAAGAGTACTACAAGGTATCCTGAACTTAACTTGAAGAATGAAGAGTACTACAAGGTATCCTGAAGTTAACTTGAAGAGTACTACAAGTTATCCTGAAGTTGACTTGAAGAGTACTACAAGGTATCCTAGAGTTAACTTGAAGAGTACTACAAGTTATCCTGAAGTTAACTTGAAGAGTACTACAAGGTATCCTGAACTTAACTTGAAGAGTACTACAAGGTAACCTGAAGTTAACTTGAAGAGTACTACAAGGTATCCTGAATTTAGCTTGAAGAGTACTACAAAGTATCCTGGATTTAACTCAAAAAGTACTACAAGGGACTGCACAGGATTGTGAGCCAACTGAAAAGTCAAGATGAAGTTTATCAACAGCTTAAGGGTTAAAGCCCTTTATTTTTCTAGTGGAAGTGGTTGCCGGGGTAATTACGCTGCTATTACAGAAGCTGATGACTCGGTCTCCACATCACGACAACCTATTTCTACAGAAAGTCAAACAAGAAAACATCAAAAAAATATGAACATCAATTGTATTGTATCATGTAAAAGGACTGCTAAGGTTAGCACATTTAACATAAGAACAGCCAGAGAACAGCACAAACGCATCGAACTTGCAGAACTATTTTCTCGAAGCAAGCTGCACATCCTTGGCCTGCAAGAATCGAACATCGGGTAGTGCATGCTGATTGCTGAGAATACCAGAATAGAAAAGATGAACAAAGGGATTCATCCAGTGATATCATCTGCGTGGAGAAACGCAGCTGGCGCTTCTAATGGGAGAGTAGGAATCATCTTGACGAGGACAGCAGCGCATATGAGGCTATAAGTCTTATAAAGTTATAAAATCTTACAGCGCAAGGATCCTCACCATGTCTCTTAATGGAAAGCCCATGCTCACTGTCATCACATGCTACAGTCCTACAGAAGCCTCATCTGATGAGGAGACATGAAATCTTTTTTGTCTAAAACCAAGCATCTTACAGTTAATTTAGTAGGAGAGGAGCCACACACAATAATTTCTAAGGACGGACATGCCTTAGAAGAAGTTGAGGATTTTAGTACAACGGAGCACGACTTTAGGTTACGCAATGCCAAGGCATGGGCTGCCTACCACAAAATGTAGGCTATATGGAGGTCCAATTTGCGCCGAGATTTAAAGATCCGTTTGTTCAAGCTACGGTTGAATCAATCTTCCTGTATGGAACGAAAACGTGGACAATAACAGAATCTTTGAAGAAAAGAATAGACGGATGTTACAGTAGAATGCTTCGGATGGCCCTAAACGTGGACTGGAGAGGACATCGCACCAACAAGGAGGTCTTTGGATCACTCCCAAGAGTTATTTCGAAGATACAGGCCAGAGGAATGAGGTTGGCTGGGCACATCCAGCGACATGATGACCTGGCAGCACACCAACTTCTCCTTTGGGAACCTAGGGAGGGGTAGACCACCGCTAACCTTCGTCTATAACCTAATAAGTGACACTGGACTCAAGAACACTGGGGAGATTAAGGAGCTTATGGCGGACAGAAAGCTTTGGAGACACATCATCGAGACTCGGACTCTGAAGCCGCCTTAAGTCAAGTAATTTAAGTCATGTGCTTTGACTTGCCCTTGACCTTCGTCATAGCCTCCTTTCATGACAGGAGAAAACATTTGCCACGTTTGGCACATTTCCACTTTGTGCATTCATATGGATTATATCTCGATGAACGAGACATCCTGTTTGCTATCGTGATAACATACTATCAATATAAACACACTTATATACTATGTAAACTATCTATTAAGTTAAGACATGAGAACAACACGTAGGTAAGACTCAGTGGGAAATAATTCACATTCAATACAATTAATGAAATGGCTAGAATTTTGTTTAAATTTTGTTTAAAAAACCCAAAAAAACCCAAAAAAACCCAATCCCAGTATTACCTTTTCTTGGGTAGGAGTTGGGTTTTTTTGGGTTACACCCCCCCCCCAAAGTATCCTGGATTTAACTCAAAAAGTACTACAAGGTTATATCCTGAAGTTGACTTGAAGAGTACTACAAGGTATCCTGGAGTTAACTTGAAGAGTACTACAAGGTTATATCCTGAAGTTGACTTGAAGAGTACTACAAGGTATCCTGAAGTTAACTCAAAAAGTACTACAAGGTTATATCCTGAAGTTGACTTGAAGAGTACTACAAGGTAACCTGAAGTTAACTTGAAGAGTACTACAAAGTATCCTGGATTTAACTCAAAAAGTACTACAAGGTTATATCCTGAAGTTAACTTGAAGAGTACTACAAGGTATCCTGAACTTAACTTGAAGAGTACTACAAGGTATCCTGAACTTAACTTGAAGAATGAAGAGTACTACAAGGTATCCTGAAGTTAACTTGAAGAGTACTACAAGTTATCCTGAAGTTGACTTGAAGAGTACTACAAGGTATCCTAGAGTTAACTTGAAGAGTACTACAAGTTATCCTGAAGTTAACTTGAAGAGTACTACAAGGTATCCTGAACTTAACTTGAAGAGTACTACAAGGTAACCTGAAGTTAACTTGATGAGTACTACAAGGTATCCTGAACTTAGCTTGAAGAGTACTACAAGGTATCCTGAAGTTAACTTGAAGAGTACTACAAGTTATCCTGAAGTTGACTTGAAGAGTACTACAAGGTATCCTAGAGTTAACTCAAAAAGTACTACAAGGTTATATCCTGAAGTTAACTTGAAGAGTACTACAAGGTATCCTGAACTTAACTTGAAGAGTACTACAAGGTATCCTGGAGTTAACTCAAAAAGTACTACAAGGTAACCTGAAGTTAACTTGAAGAGTACTACAAGGTATTCTGAAGTTAACTTGAAGGGTACTATAAGGTATCCTGAAGTTAACTTGAAGAGTACTACAAGGTATCCTGAACTTAACTTGAAGAGTACTACAAGGTATCCTAGAGTTAACTCTTATAGAGAACTACAAGTTAGCTTCAAGTTATCATTTATCTACTTAATTTAACCTAAACAACCTCCATGTTGTTGTAACCTGCAGGCAACCGTGGATCAACTTAAGATAAAGCGATGATATGATCCTGAAGTTAACTGACAGAAAGCATGAAGTTTCAACCTACAGTTAGATATGCGTCGTCTTCCAATTATATCGGTCCTGATATTTGAAATTTGATCGCCTCTCGGATTTGCTCTCGGATCCTATAGGATTTGAGTATCCTATCGGGTCCGAGAGCAAATCCTATCGGCACTCGGAATTGTTAAATCCTATCTCCGCTAGGATTAGCGCTCGGATCCGATAGGGTTTTAATTTCCTATCGGGTCCGAGAGCAAATCCTATCGCCTCTCGGAACTTACACATCCTATCGCCGCTCGGCGATAGGAATTCATCGGAGGTATCCTGGGGGGACTGGATCGGCGTTAGGATTGATAAAATCCGAGAGATCTCGGGCGCGCTAGGATAAATCCTAGTGTAATCCTGTCTAATTAGAATCGCAGAAATCGACGTTCTGAACAGCCGTGATCGATCGCGCGGCCAACTGTGCGCTTTGTGTTCAAGAAAATTTGTAGTGCGCCTTCCATCAAACATGCGGCCTAGAGTGCCCAATTTTAGCCTCAAATAGCCACTTCATGTAGGATGTCGCGACTTAAGTCAAAATGTGGCAGCTAGCGAAAATCTAGTTCATGATTCACTCACTTGGTCCTAGCAACCTTTACAGCGAACGAATATCGTGCGTTAGTAAGATAAGCGTGTGGTGGTCGTCCGGCATGTTTTATCTCGCAGTGGAATAGTGCTACACGTCCGTATCTGTTCTGTACTGACATCACAATGTTGGATAAATCTTCGTCTGTAAAATGAAAGTTTCAATTGTAAAGTTAGTTCCTTAAATCTAGAAATAAGAACTATTAATTATTTGTCAGGTCTATGTAGTCACCTGACGACTAAATAGCATTGGTGTTTTAAATTATACAGCTGTTTACAGGCAGCTGGAGTCAAAACGCTCAAAGATTTTATTAAAAGAACTATATACGATGATTAGTGATCATGCACCCCTCAGTGGTTGCAGCCCCTAGTAGATACAGCTGTCACGCCACCTTCAGGCTTCATAATAGAAAACTAATTACGTTCATAGTAATTAACTAATTAACTAATTAATTACTTACGTTCATAGTAGACCGTACCACCCAGATGTCCCGGTTTGAACTCAGGGTTAAGGTAGAGGAGAAATGTGTACTCATCCTTGTCGTAGCAGTCTTTATGTATCCTTGTGTGGTCCCATGCTCGGTTCAGATTACAGGAAACGTCGTAAGGGTACCATCCTTCGTGGCCTGAAATTTACATTAAATAAGGTTTTTAAAAGTTTGACATGCAGCTTGGTACGATTACTATTAGTCATAGGTAAAAGTTCTGAGGATTGAAGTGGTTAGTGGATATCTGAACTATGATAATCCAGAGTTTTCTGATACAGTATTATATCATCTTTCAGTCATGAAGTATAATGAATATCTTAGGTTTCTTCTCAATTCCATATACTATTATGTAGGCTGAATAGGTGTGTAGCAGTAAAGACAAAATTCTAACTGTTAGAATATATTATACTAGAAACCCGCTAGTCGAAAGCTTTGTTCGAGGAAATTTTAAAAATCAGTTATGTTTTAATTTCTCTTCATCATATAGCTCTGTTATACTGTAGACATAATGGAATTTATCTAACAATGGCGACAGCGTTGTTAGTATTCGGATTCCCAAAACGATACTTTTTACCGCATCAAAAAATACCAATCACAACCCAAGTTATGAATATAAGTCATAGCGTGAGCGTAAATGTGAGCTAGTTTTGAAATTATGACGTAGCATACAGCATAACAACGCGCGTAGTTAAAATGTTTTTGCTCGCGCACGTGCATTTTAACGTTGCTACGCAACAGCGCAGTAAACCTTTGCTAAAATAACGACATTATTCTAACGGTTATTTTACCTCACTTCTGACGTTAATTATAAAAAATCTAAAGCCTAAATCAAAATTCTAAGAATGCTATAGCCTATTCCTATCCTTTTTCTACAACCCTGCTAAAAATGGCGAGGTTTCAACTCCATTTGCGAGCTGGGTTTGGCATCACCAGAGGGTCATTTTGAGGTCGATTTTCGGTGTTTTTTCTTCTATGTCCCCGTTGCCGGGGAAATTTCGTCAAGTTTAAATTATAGTATAGATATTTATATAAAGAACTAATATGAAATATATTATTTATTTATCATCATTGCTTGAATACTCCTCTACTCTTTGACATAAAAGGAGACAATTTAAGATGCATTTAAAAGCTTAACGGTCGACACACATTATCTTTTTGTTAGTTTGATATGTGTCTCTTACCATTTATCATCGCCACCACAATTATACTTACCGTGTTAGATGTACCAATCTACTTCAAGTAAGTTAGTAATATACAATAGATATTAGATATGTACTATACTACATATTTGAGAGGATGTAATGGTTATTTTCGCATGTAATGGTTATTTTTAGGGAAACTAACGAAGAAGGGTCGTTTTCATCATTTTGTTGAGAATAAAAGGTGGTGAAATGTTAACTGACGTCTATTTATCTTTTATTCAAGTTTTAATTGTAAAATATTTACTTTAGTGTCGAATACGATAGAGGCTTTGTTTCTTTTACTGTTTGTTATAGTAGTTACAGTACGGTTTAATTTATTACTTCAGATATTTTATAGGGGAACCGGACACGAGGGCGTAGGACACAAGTGCGCTACTTTCTTTAAAGGGTGGACACGAGGGCGAATCAAATGAATCACATTAACATGGACAAATGGGTTTTTTGATGTTCTCAACAGTCTGGTTGAGGTAAAACTTAGCTCGAAGAATTGGATCTACTCGCGTGTAAATTTGAAACAAAACATAGTGATGTGACAAATAATCCCCCAGATTTAAACGAGCCAAAAATTGAGAGATTTTTCTCAAATATCTCAGCCAACTCAGCAGCAGATTTTGGCGTTTGGTAACGTGCTTAGACCAATCAAACACTGCCGAGATGTTCATGTGACAAACTTGGCCTTCAAAATATCGCAGTCGCTGACGCTACGGTTACCTGGGTTTAGATCAGGGGTAGTACGTACCAAAACAGGTATTTTCTTTGGGTAGACGAATTTCACTGAGGTGTGTACTGTGTTCACTCAATTTCAAACCATCAATCCTCTCAGTTAAAACGACCATCATTCAGGACGGTTTTTGTTCCGCCTTCGTGTCCATTCTAAAATGAATCATGTGATTCGCCCTCGTGTCCTCCGCTCTTGCGTCTACCGCCCTTGTGTCCTACGCTCTAGTGTCCTATACCCATTTTATAGCTGTATACTGTATAGTAGTAGTCGTTTTCTTATATTTTCACATATTTACCTTTTTAGTAACTTAAGAGGAGTTTTACAATTTGAGTGTTACATTGTCAAGCTATGTAGTAGTTGTATTAGTGTAGTTAACAGTCATTTTCAGCATTTTGTTGAGAATAAAAGGTGATACTTGTGAAATGTCACTAGTCATATGATATAAATGTGCATCTGTACTCAAATTAGCCCTTATGTGCCTATAGCTGTCACTTTTGTGTTATAATTGCTCTAGATTGTAATTATACGGGTTCAATGACAGTATGTAACAAGTGATGTTCAACATAATTGCAATGTCAACATATTGTGACACTTCTTTTGTCATTTTAAATAGAGGACGAAGTAAAATAGCTCTCTTCTTGAACGTTTGAATAAACATACTTACTCAGCTCTCTACTACTCTATTACTACTACTCTACTCTTATTAAGCTCTGTTGCTGCACACCCTTTACACTCTCTTGCTACCTAGCAAGCTATGACACGAGAAAGCAAGAAAGACCCGAATTTCCAATGATCACTACAAGTAACTACACGCTATACGGGATGCACAATAATGCAGAGAGGTACTCGTGGACTGCTTATCACATCTTCGTTCTCCTGTCTTCACTCATTGGAGATACTGTCATCCTCTACTCATCTTTCCAGAAGGACGCTTTTAAAGTTCACCAAGTAATAATCGCAGTAATCCAGCACATAGCCGCATCTGACATCATAACCTCCCTAGTTCGTGCCTTCCCTAGATCCATCTCTCTGATCGCCAACTCCATGGTGATAGGAGACTCTCTGTGCTATGCTACTGCTTGCATTATGCGTATAATGTTTCCAGTGGGTGCCAATCTCATCGCAGTTCTAACTACCTCCAAACTGTTGATGCTGAAATTCCCTCTCCGACCAGCGAACTGGACCAGAAGTAAAGCTCATCTGGTTTGCAGCGCCATCTGGATCATCGCCGCTTGTGATCCGGTACTCTTGTATTTTATTGACAGTGGGGATGTTATGTTCCGGTATAAAACCTATTCCTGCAGTTACATTTCCACAGCTAAGATAACATCTCTTCTTTCCTTTGTGTTTGTTTTTGTTCCCGTAACGATCATCATCGGCACCACAATTCCCACTCTGATGTATCTAGCTACAGCTAGAGAATCTGCAAGACGAGTCGGAGGAAGAGATCCATGGCAAGGAATTTTGGCTGTGGCCCTCACGGCCATAGTCTACCTAGTTTCGGCTACACCGATTATTGTTTACTTAATCAGCAGAAAATTTGTTGCGCCAGATCCAACAGGACCATTTGAGTTTACTCTGTATAGAATTGCAGTTTTCATGACGCTGCTTAACGTTATGTCTAATTTCTATATCTACGCGCTCACGATCAGAAGTTTCCGGACGTTCCCACATTTGAAAATATGTAAAATATGTTCATTTGTTCCGGTTTCTCTGCGATCTTCAAGAGGTTTTCCAGGTGTACAGTTTATTTATTAGATGAATAAAATAACTATGAATGTCTCAATTTTACACAGTACTTTCAAACGATAATTATAGAATGAAAACTGACAAAAGCACAGAAAAGTCCTTGAAGTAATTACAAAGTTAACCAAGGGTGTCATTGCTTTCACCATCGCTGTAGTTAATGGAATCTATTATTTCAGCAGCCCAAGATACTCAAGGAACTGAAGCAGCTGTAGAAAGCAACTCGCAATTCCATGAAACTACTGCAATATAGATAGAGTGACGTCACGACAGACAGAGTGACGTCACAACAGACAGAGTGACGTCACGACAGACAGAGCGACGTCACAACAGACTGAGTTACGTCACAACAGACATAGTGACGTCACAACAGACAGAGTGACGTCACGACAGACAGAGTGACGTCACAACAGACATAGTGTATTTACATTTGTTTTTTAAACTTTTTAATGAGAAAGTCCTCTTTTGGAATGCCATTTTGAATGGTAAGGGGTCGTCCACATATTATATAGTTATATATATGTGGAGTATTCCATGGTACGAAAAGACAGTTTTCAAAATTCATCGCGACTGTCAACTCAAGGCTAGCAGAACTTGGCCTCCACATTGATGAGAACATCATAGAAGATAACAATGTTTATGTGTCGTTCTTAGACATCAAATTTTGTTTCGACACCGCAGGTGATCTTCAGACAGACCTCCATGTTAAAGAGACTGATGCCCGCTCCTACCTGTACTTCGGTTCCCACCACCCGAACCATACATTCAGCAGCATAGTCTATAGTGCATGCCTGAGACTCCGGCGAATCATCAATGATAACGACAGACTCCGAAAATAAATTGATGAATTAAAAACCTTTTTCTTCCAATCCAACTACCCTAAAACTATGGTAGATAACATCAGTGAAAAGGTCAAAGGCTTCGAAAGATGTCTCAAACCACTGGACAACTCAAACAGCAATGTCCTGGTACCAAAGTCTCCAGAACCAGCAGTCCGCGTTATTTCAACATTTGGCAGTGATCAAGAGTTAGTAGAATCGGTGCAAAGATTGGAACTAGAACTCAGTAGAACCAGGAGCTTCTCAGGATTATCTGGTTCCCATACAAGTGGAAACACCCCAGGCTCCCCAATATCATCTAGAGCCGGTACATCACGCCCTATCTTCAAATTTGTCAGACGTACTGGAACATCATTTAGAAGGAAGTTAGTCAAAGCAAAACAGTTTGCAGATGACTTAACCCAACCTCACACAAGACCATGTGGGGGCAGACACTGCGGTACCTGTAACATCATATCTCCAAATCCATCAATAACAGTCAATGGACAGCGAGCCAAAGCAGTGTCTGGTACATGTGTCAGCTACAATGTTGTATACCTCTTCACTCTTCAGTTGCCAACTTTGTAACATGTGTTATGTAGGAAGAACGGTGCAGCCCCTCAGGGCACGAGTATACGAACATCCGCGCCC